CTGATTTTGAGAGTGATTGCACCGGAGTATGGAGAAATCTGATATGCATGAAGCAAGTGCCAGTGAGGAAAATGGAAGCATTTGCTTGCCCACTTTTCTCTGTGGTCTTTTTAGCCAATTACTGAGGAGTTGTCACATTCCCCAGCCCAATGTGATCCCCCTTTATGTGGTCACCTTAATACTCGAATGTCCCTTGCATCTTCACACAGTTTCTATCAGATGTGGATGACTGAAATTTCCCAAAAGGACAAGCAGTTGCCTGCCCCGGATAGGACTGTTCACACACATATTTCTCATGTTCAGTTGGATGGATTCATTTAGATTAGGCATGATGTATTCAAATATATTGCTGTGGTTAATCCCTTGGTTGGTCCTAGGCACAAATGAAGCTGGAAAGATGTTTATGATGTTGCCTCTTTTAAGAGGCTGCTCAACGAGATGTAGGTGCTGATAAGAACATTCTGGGTTTATTGGGCACCTGTATGCCAGGCACCCTGTCAGCCTTCAGTGCCCATTAACTCATCAGGTCTTCACAACCACCTGATGAGATAACTTCTTTTATTATGATCATTCCCCATTTTTTTCAGATGGGGAACTTGTGGCCCAGAGAAAAGTACATGATCAAGATTCGTCCAAGTGGTAGGTAGCAGGCCCAGGACCTGGACATAGATGAGACTGAGCTCTTACTACTGCGCCGCTCCATCTCCGGCTCACCGAAGCTCTGCTTGCACAGTGCAAACCCTCAGATGTCGCTCAGTGCCTGTTGTGGCTTGTGGAGGACCAACATGTGACACCTCATCTCCATGCCTGAGTTTTGAACCAGTGGGGGAATAAGACAAAAATGTCTGGCAGTCCAAATGCCACATTTGTTGTTAATAAGTCTGATATTGTCATCTAAATCTCAGAATTAGAGAGATTTCATTATTAAGAGCTAGGGTTCTAGAGCTGATTGCCTGGGTTCAAATCCCAGCTTCACCTTTTACTAACTGGGAGATCTGGAGCAGGTTATTTATTCCTCTGAGACTCAGTTTCCTCATTTGTCAGGTGGAGATGATAATAGTCCTTCCCTCACAGGTTTGTTGTCAAGACTAAATGAGTTACAATATGGAAGTACTTAGAATAATATAGTCATGTGGCAAGTTCTCAATCAAGATTAGCTGTTATCGCATTGAAAAGACTAAGAACAACAAATGCTGGCAAGGATGCGGAGAAAGGGGAACCCTCCTACACTGCTGGTGGAATGTAAGCTAGTTCAACCATAGTGGAAAGCAGTATGGAGGTTTCTCAAAAAACTAAAAATATAAATACCATTTGACCCAGGAATCGCACTCCTTGGAATTTACCCAAAGAATACAATTTCTCAGACTAAAAAAGACATATGCACCCCTATGTTTATCACAGCACTTTTTACAATAGCCAAGATATGGAAGCAACCTAAGTGTCCATCAGCAGATGAATGGATAAAAAAGATGTGGCACATATACACAATGGAATACTATTCAGCCGTAAGAAAGTAACAAATCCTACCATTTGCAACAACATGGATGGAGCTGGAGGACATTATGCTCAGTGAAATAAGCCAGGTGGAGAAAGACAAGTGCCAAATGGTTTCCCTCATTTGTGGAGTATAACAAGGAAGCAAAACTGAAGGAACAAAATAGCAGCAGACTCAGAGACTCCAAGAATGAACTAGTGGTTACCAAAGGGGAGGGGTGGGGAGGGAGGGAGAAGGGGACTGAGGGGTATTATGTTTAGTACACATGGTGTGGGGGATCACGGGGAGAACAGTGTATCACAGAGAAGGGACATAGTGGATCTCTGGCAACTTGCTGCACTGATGGACAGTGACTGCTTTGGGATATGGGTGGGGACTTGATAATATGGGTAAATGTAGTAACCACATTGTTTTTTTGTGTGAAACCTTCATAAGAGTGTATATCAATCATACCTTAATAAAAAATTAAAACAACAAAAAAAAGATTAGCTGTTATCTACTAACCACTAGTAGCGGCAGGAGGCCCAGGACCTCTGCAGGACTCCCCACAGGGCCTGACTCTGTCCAACTTGCTGTAAGAAGCAGGCAGCTTGCTCCCAGGAAGAAAAGGGCTGGGCTTCACAGGTCAGGTTCTCTTTGCAAACCCGGTCAGGGGAGGAGAAAGGCCAGGAGTGTGTGTGACCGAAGCCCCCACCACATGGAATGAAACACGTGTTTGCCCCACACCCATCCCCAGTGATTTTGGGCAGGAGCCCATCAGTCTCCCCGAAGCCCTGTTCCAGAAGCCATCCTCTTGTGCCCAGGGTTTTGCCATCAAGAAAACTTGGCTTAACAATTGGGAAGTATTGTATGGATTGTTTGCCATCTGATCCTAGAAATAGACCATGTAAGGAGAGACTAGAGGGATGAGATTGTTTGGCCTGGAGACTCGGTGCATGCTGTTCCCTGAAGGAGGAGGAGTGTGTGGGGAACCACGGGTCAGGGGTCAGCATGTGAGAAGGGTTCACGGGAGCTGGGGGCAGGATCAGGGTCTCTCCTTTCAGGAGGGAGAGGCTGGAAGTGCTGCTGCATGCTACCTGGCCTAGAATCGCAGGTGGCCATGCACAGTTCTCCCGCAGCCATCATTGTCGCCTGACTGCCGTGAGCAGCACTGGACTGTGAAGAAAAATTCAGGTTGGTCTGCAGTGATTGCGTGCCTTAGTAAAAGCAGGGAGGGCCTCTCCTAGGACAACCTCCTTTCCAGACTGCTCAAACCTGGAAGAGGTCACAACATCTACGGAGTGCATGGAAAACAGGTTTCCAAGAAGTGCTTTACATTTCAGAAAGTTCTGGAGTCATTTCAGTGTTTCAATTTCAGTCAACTTGTGTGACTTCTTAGAGAAGTCATTTGCCCTTTCTGGACCTTGACCAATTCACCTGAACGTGAGGCGGCTGGACCACATCTCTTAAGATTCCTTTCCAACTCTGACCATCTCCAAGTCTATATTCTAACTTATGCTAATGAACCCAAGAGGCAGTGTTCCCCCAATCTTAACCCCAGGGGAAATAGAGACAGTTTAGCCAGGAGTGGGCTTTGCTCTCTGGACCTTTAGTGACGGTACAAAATTCAGGATTTTTATTGTTGGTGGGAGCATAATTTGGAGCAAACAGGTCTTCTGATGCCACTCACATCACACTGACACAGTGTTTTGGGGCCCATCTAGGGCCTAGAGCATGAGAGACCCTTAAACCATTTTTATTAATATGCAAGTCTAGCTTTTAAGACTAAATTCCACCAATGATTTCACTATAAACAGTATTTGTAAGGTTTTTGTATTTTTCTCTGCAGTAATATTAGAAAAGGCTGTCTTAGACACTCCCAGCCTGGGAATGTGGGCTGTCCTTATCTGTTGGTGGTTGACGCCCTCAGATGTGGTTTTTTCATTCACTACCAGCAGTTGAGTACTTATTGTGAGCCTGGCCTCTGCTGGGGAGTCCAAAGAGGAACCTAAGAGCAGGAATGGCCCCTGCTGTCAGCAGAGGAGGAGCAGACATGAGAAGGCCTAAAGGAAGTGACACCTGAGCAGAGTTTTGGAGAGCAGATAACAAATCCAATAAAAGAATAATAAGAGAGAGGAACAAATCCAATAAAAACAAGAAGGGTCTTCCAGAAAGACAAACAACATGAACCACGAGCAAAGGCCTCGAGGTCTGAGAGGACTTGGGGCAACAGAGCAGCCGAATGTGTCAGGGTGAGGGGTGAAGAAGGAGTGGGCAGGTAGGCAGGGCCAGCTTGAGAAGGGCCTATACCTCAGGTAAAGGGTTTGGGCTTATTCTGGAGGCCTGGGGAGAGGAGAGACGGTGCCACTGAAGCTATTTCAGCAGGGATGTGACGTGTCTTAGGACTCTGGCAGCAGGGCCGCAACTAGGTTGGAGAATGAAGTTCCTTCCAGTCCTCTCGTCTCGACTGGGGGCCCTCAGGACAGCCACGGTCTTCCCGCACACTGTCAGGAGAGGAAAGGCATCCTTGTGGAACCCACAGGGTGAGAACAGGGTTCCTGGATATTCCATTTCCCAGTGAAAAAGAAAAACATGGCTAATGGACAGGTTAAATATTCCTCAGGGAGGGTTTCTTCCCCCTCTAGGTTACTCTCCTGGCCTTATGATCCCATTGCACCCTGAACGCTCTCTCCTGACAGCGTCACTCTTGTTCAATGCCTGTCTTCCCCTCAGGACTCTAGGCTCCAGGAGAGCAGAAAGTTTTGTTGTTTTTATTTGCCGCTGTCTCCCAGCTGATGGCCGGGTTTCTGGCTCTAGTAGACGCTCAATAAATATTACCTGAATTAAGAAGAGACATACTGGAGTTATGATCAGAGATGGGAGCCGGGGGAATATTATTTTCCTCCTGGTAGATCACTATAAATGAAACCCAGAGGTTGGAAGAGTTACTTAAAAGAGAAAGGTTTTAATCTGAGCTGTCCTGCCCTTGCTATGCATAGTTAACTCTGGTGTTCCTTCCTGTCATTTGTGAGGTGAGGTGTATGGATAAAAACAATTGCTAAGGTTTCTCTTTCTAAACCTAACATTTTATGTATGAAAAAATAGTCTTTGCCTGCCACTCTCCTCTTTCCAGGGCTCCTGCGTTTCAGAAAGACATGGCTACTGGCGAACTAAAGAACAACATCATGATCTTAGCCAAAAAGCTGAAGGAATCTTATAAAGATGCCAGATATTTAAACAGAGAGTGTAGATCTGGACTGTTAGAAATTTGTTCTGGGAAAGGAATATTTACTTTTATAGGATGAGTTCAACTGAGTTCCAATTATAAAAAACAAGATTTTTTTCAGGAAGAGAGAGAAAGAGAGAGGGCAGGAGAGCAATCCGCCCTGCCTCCCCGGCAGACAGAGGCCTTGGAGAGGCCACTAGGGCCCTTCCCCCAGCGCCATGTGCTGCAGAGGAGCCGAGGTGCTGAGTGGGAGGACTTCCCTGAGGTGAAAACCCAGCCAGTACCGGGGCAGCTACTCACCGGAGGTCTCCTCCAGACAAACTGGATGGGGAACTTCTGGCTGTAAAAGAGAGAGGTCTCATCCGGTGGGAACTCAGGATCCAGATAAAGAACCTTCTTCTCCAGACATTTCTTGTGAAGATGCTCAAACTTCTTCTCTTTCACTCCAATAATGGGAAAATTGCGGCTGATGATGGCCGAGTAGATGCCACTTGGGTTTCCGCCCCCAGCCTCGGTGGCCTTGCCCAGGGCTGGGTGGGGAATTGGCCCCGGGGACCTGGGCTCTGCCTCTGTCTGCGGGGCCACAGACGAGCTTATGGCGGTTGGCATGGCAGGCAAATTTGGAAGGAAAAGGGTTTTAAAGAAAGCAAGACACAGCTACCTTCAAGGAAAAGAAGCAACTGCAAAGGGGAAGTTGGAGTGATTCTGTCATGAGAGAAAAACGTCCACATTCAGTTCAAAGTTTAAAGCCCTTGAGAAGGTCGTCCAGCTTATATCCATCTTAAAAGCTGAGCTGTGATCCTGAAGCCATTAGTGTTCTGAGGAAGGAGCACGAAAGGATTTCTGCAGCAGCTTTACCTGGGGGCTGCTACCAGCAGCACGCACGCCAGAGAGAGAGGAGAGCGAGCGTTGGGTTTCAGTGGCCTGAAGAAGCTTGAGCCAGGAAAACTAAAAATAGGCATGAAGAAATATCAAGAGCGTGAGCACAGGAGAGAGGCTAGTGCGCTGCTAGAGCGCATGGCCAAGAGGGGAGGACCTGGCTGGGGACACTTCTGTGTTGTCATTAAGGGCCGGTGTTGTCAGGAAATGAAAGGGGAATATTTGAGGAAGCTGAACACTGAAAATTAGCAAAGAACTGCTGGCTGGTATGTCATTGAATCAGCAGTTATTTCAGACTGTCAAACTATTGGCCATCAGATTAATGGAAAAGATACTGAGTTCTAGGAGAATATCCTAGGCATTTTTGAGAACACGATTTTTACTTTGTAAAACTGTAGGATGTCAGAACATTATTCAGTTGGATTTGGCATCTCTTCTAGAATGTTTTGTATCAGCATTCAGTGGAACTGTCTGGGTGGAAAGTGCCATTCAGCAGAGTCCTCCTTTGAGAAAATCTCTGTCTCCTCTTGCCCACTTGACCTAGCCACCTCTTGTCTTTCTCCACCTCCAAACTAACAGTGGGACGCAGCCTACAACAAGTGCCCCTAAGCACAGATCATTCAGGCATGTCACATTCGGCATCTGAGTTAGAACTTGGAATCAGACACTGAAACTAGGCTGGCCGTCAAGTCCCAGTATATCATACTGAAGAAGCTGCTTTCAGGACCCTTGGACGAGAGGGCAAGTGGCTCTGGGGGCAGCGTTGCCTGGCTGGCCTCTACCTCCCAGTAACTGCTACCCAGGCTATCAGGAGATGGCCACATCCCAAGTGTGGCTGAGTGGAGGCTTGTCCCGGACTGCAGCCCTGCCTGTTCCCCTGTGACCAATCTCATCAGTCCAAGGTTGGAGGCTCTGGGAGAAGGTGGGACGTGACAGCTGAAACAGGGAATACCACCAGGCTTGTCATCCCTGGGGGCGCAGCTTTAGGAGCCTCCTGTCTGGAACCGTCAGCTTGCTCTCCTGCCCCTCTCAGGAAATGCCCACACATCCTTACTCTTGGACAGGCAGACTAGGGGAGGGCGCCCTCTGAAGGCCGGCTGCCAAGGTTCGAAGTCTGGACCTGCAGCTTGCTGGCTGCGCCTGTATGACTTTAGGTGAGTTACTGCCTCCTTTCTTTCTCTGTTTCAGTGTTCTCACCTATCAAATGGGTATGACAGTCATTCTGCTACTGAGTTGTAAAAATTAAATAATTTGTGTAAAACATTTAAAATAGTGCTCGGATCATCTTAAGCACTCAATAAATGTTGCTGTTGTAGTTTGAGATATTTATGTTGTTAGAGAGTTACTATTACTTTGGGGTTAGGTCAGGATGAATGGCAGCCATATGTTGGTGCAACTCTCCCTGTGAGCATTTACTGATCGTCTTCCATGGGTACAGCAAGGGGCTGGATGTGAGCCTCTCTGGGTCACGTGGTCACAGTGCCTCCAACCAGAGATGTGCCTATCTGCAGTAAAAGAACCTCGAAAAAGACTGACTTCCACCCTCAAACTCACTAATGTAGACAAACAACATGAACCACGAGCAAAGGCCTCGAGGTCTGAGAGGACTTGGGGCAACAGAGCAGCCGAATGTGTCAGGGTGAGGGGTGAAGAAGGAGTGGGCAGGTAGGCAGGGCCAGCTTGAGAAGGGCCTATACCTCAGGTAAAGGGTTTGGGCTTATTCTGGAGGCCTGGGGAGAGGAGAGACGGTGCCACTGAAGCTATTTCAGCAGGGATGTGACGTGTCTTAGGACTCTGGCAGCAGGGCCGCAACTAGGTTGGAGAATGAAGTTCCTTCCAGTCCTCTCGTCTCGACTGGGGGCCCTCAGGACAGCCACGGCCTTCCCGCACACTGTCAGGAGAGGAAAGGCATCCTTGTGGAACCCACAGGGTGAGAACAGGGTTCCTGGATATTCCATTTCCCAGTGAAAAAGAAAAACATGGCTAATGGACAGGTTAAATATTCCTCAGGGAGGGTTTCTTCCCCCTCTAGGTTACTCTCCTGGCCTTATGATCCTATTGCACCCTGAACGCTCTCTCCTGACAGCGTCACTCTTGTTCAATGCCTGTCTTCCCCTCAGGACTCTAGGCTCCAGGAGAGCAGAAAGTTTTGTTGTTTTTATTTGCCACTGTCTCCCAGCTGATGGCCGGGTTTCTGGCTCTAGTAGACGCTCAATAAATATTACCTGAATTAAGAAGAGACATACTGGAGTTATGATCAGAGATGGGAGCCGGGGGAATATTATTTTCCTCCTGGTAGATCACTATAAATGAAACCCAGAGGTTGGAAGAGTTACTTAAAAGAGAAAGGTTTTAATCTGAGCTGTCCTGCCCTTGCTATGCATAGTTAACTCTGGTGTTCCTTCCTGTCATTTGTGAGGTGAGGTGTATGGATAAAAACAATTGCTAAGGTTTCTCTTTCTAAACCTAACATTTTATGTATGAAAAAATAGTCTTTGCCTGCCACTCTCCTCTTTCCAGGGCTCCTGCGTTTCAGAAAGACATGGCTACTGGCGAACTAAAGAACAACATCATGATCTTAGCCGAAAAGCTGAAGGAATCTTATAAAGATGCCAGATATTTAAACAGAGAGTGTAGATCTGGACTGTTAGAAATTTGTTCTGGGAAAGGAATATTTACTTTTATAGGATGAGTTCAACTGAGTTCCAATTATAAAAAACAAGATTTTTTTCAGGAAGAGAGAGAAAGAGAGAGGGCAGGAGAGCAATCCGCCCTGCCTCCCCGGCAGACAGAGGCCTTGGAGAGGCCACTAGGGCCCTTCCCCCAGCGCCATGTGCTGCGGAGGAGCCGAGGTGCTGAGTGGGAGGACTTCCCTGAGGTGAAAACCCAGCCAGTACCGGGGCAGCTACTCACCGGAGGTCTCCTCCAGACAAACTGGATGGGGAACTTCTGGCTGTAAAAGAGAGAGGTCTCATCCGGTGGGAACTCAGGATCCAGATAAAGAACCTTCTTCTCCAGACATTTCTTGTGAAGATGCTCAAACTTCTTCTCTTTCACTCCAATAATGGGAAAATTGCGGCTGATGATGGCCGAGTAGATGCCACTTGGGTTTCCGCCCCCAGCCTCGGTGGCCTTGCCCAGGGCTGGGTGGGGAATTGGCCCCGGGGACCTGGGCTCTGCCTCTGTCTGCGGGGCCACAGACGAGCTTATGGCGGTTGGCATGGCAGGCAAATTTGGAAGGAAAAGGGTTTTAAAGAAAGCAAGACACAGCTACCTTCAAGGAAAAGAAGCAACTGCAAAGGGGAAGTTGGAGTGATTCTGTCATGAGAGAAAAACGTCCACATTCAGTTCAAAGTTTAAAGCCCTTGAGAAGGTCGTCCAGCTTATATCCATCTTAAAAGCTGAGCTGTGATCCTGAAGCCATTAGTGTTCTGAGGAAGGAGCACGAAAGGATTTCTGCAGCAGCTTTACCTGGGGGCTGCTACCAGCAGCACGCACGCCAGAGAGAGAGGAGAGCAAGCGTTGGGTTTCAGTGGCCTGAAGAAGCTTGAGCCAGGAAAACTAAAAATAGGCATGAAGAAATATCAAGAGCGTGAGCACAGGAGAGAGGCTAGTGCGCTGCTAGAGCGCATGGCCAAGAGGGGAGGACCTGGCTGGGGACACTTCTGTGTTGTCATTAAGGGCCGGTGTTGTCAGGAAATGAAAGGGGAATATTTGAGGAAGCTGAACACTGAAAATTAGCAAAGAACTGCTGGCTGGTATGTCATTGAATCAGCAGTTATTTCAGACTGTCAAACTATTGGCCATCAGATTAATGGAAAAGATACTGAGTTCTAGGAGAATATCCTAGGCATTTTTGAGAACACGATTTTTACTTTGTAAAACTGTAGGATGTCAGAACATTATTCAGTTGGATTTGGCATCTCTTCTAGAATGTTTTGTATCAGCATTCAGTGGAACTGTCTGGGTGGAAAGTGCCATTCAGCAGAGTCCTCCTTTGAGAAAATCTCTGTCTCCTCTTGCCCACTTGACCTAGCCACCTCTTGTCTTTCTCCACCTCCAAACTAACAGTGGGACGCAGCCTACAACAAGTGCCCCTAAGCACAGATCATTCAGGCATGTCACATTCGGCATCTGAGTTAGAACTTGGAATCAGACACTGAAACTAGGCTGGCCGTCAAGTCCCAGTATATCATACTGAAGAAGCTGCTTTCAGGACCCTTGGACGAGAGGGCAAGTGGCTCTGGGGGCAGCGTTGCCTGGCTGGCCTCTACCTCCCAGTAACTGCTACCCAGGCTATCAGGAGATGGCCACATCCCAAGTGTGGCTGAGTGGAGGCTTGTCCCGGACTGCAGCCCTGCCTGTTCCCCTGTGACCAATCTCATCAGTCCAAGGTTGGAGGCTCTGGGAGAAGGTGGGACGTGACAGCTGAAACAGGGAATACCACCAGGCTTGTCATCCCTGGGGGCGCAGCTTTAGGAGCCTCCTGTCTGGAACCGTCACCTTGCTCTCCTGCCCCTCTCAGGAAATGCCCACACATCCTTACTCTTGGACAGGCAGACTAGGGGAGGGCGCCCTCTGAAGGCCGGCTGCCGAGGTTCGAAGTCTGGACCTGCAGCTTGCTGGCTGCGCCTGTATGACTTTAGGTGAGTTACTGCCTCCTTTCTCTGTTTCAGTGTTCTCACCTATCAAATGGGTATGACAGTCATTCTGCTACTGAGTTGTAAAAATTAAATAATTTGTGTAAAACATTTAAAATAGTGCTCGGATCATCTTAAGCACTCAATAAATGTTGCTGTTGTAGTTTGAGATATTTATGTTGTTAGAGAGTTACTATTACTTTGGGGTTAGGTCAGGATGAATGGCAGCCATATGTTGGTGCAACTCTCCCTGTGAGCATTTACTGATCGTCTTCCATGGGTACAGCAAGGGGCTGGATGTGAGCCTCTCTGGGTCACGTGGTCACAGTGCCTCCAACCAGAGATGTGCCTATCTGCGGTAAAAGAACCTCGAAAAAGACTGACTTCCACCCTCAAACTCACTAATGGCATGGAGGGC